AATTGAGGCTTATTCCCGCAAGTGATTCCTTTCTGAATAGTCTCCCTTGAATGTCCCGTTGGAGAGAATGTTTTCAAAATCTATGAAAAGTACGCTCATCAACCTCAATCTACATTGTGAAGTTAATTTATTCATCAATTCGGTTCATGAAGTTCAAGGATTCTTATAAATTTACTTACCATCCGACAATGGTACAAAGTAGTAATCCAAGTATCAAATAAACACTCCTGGTTGCAGCAATTACTTCCCGAATTCCTTTTCCAATGTTTTCAAGCATAAAGTTGCTGAAAGAGGAGAGTATAGTTCCCACAGGTAGTCAAAATATTTATTCACAATGCCGTTAAATGTGGGGAAGTGGTCTTTATTGTCAGATTGACCAGTCGTGTTACAGACTCGTTCCGTATCCGGACTGCTTCTAGGATATCCACCTCTCGTTCCAAGATATCCAGCAGGGCTGTGACTGCCTTTTCGCCTGAGATGTTTGTGTACATGGATTGTACGCCAAAACTTGCCAACAGTTTCGTCCTCGCAAGTCCAATGCTTTGGATCCTAAGAGAAAATTCATATTAGTTCTTAACAGTGTTCGAGCGTATGTGGTTTACCTTCTAGAGTTTCAAGCATATGAATTTCCTTGTGTATCTCCGGTAGTCCGTTAGCTGTCTCTGGTCTTGCATCCTTTTAGATTAAGGAATTCATTATTTTCCCGTCTATTTTTCGGTTATTATGCATTGTCTTCCGCATATCCTTTAGTTTACCGTCAATCTTTATAGTTAGATCCTTTCTTAGTACTTGATAAATGCCCCGATCACTTTCCATTCTCCCCACGTATTGTTTCCTGTCTATTATTACCGCCACCGTAGGTACTATTTGGTCGTTCCCTTGTCATTTTATGTGTATCCTCGTCAATCCGCTCCTTTTTATTGGCTCTTAAAATGCCAGAATTATCGGGATTACTTCTATTTCCATCTCCCGTTTGGTCTTTTCTAAATTTTTCCCCAAGATATTTAAGACCTCCATAAGAATATTTTCTATAAGTGTTCAACAGACAGTTGGTTAAGGGGTCAGCTTCAGGTCTCACTTTGACGAGTTATGGTATGGTGCTTAAAATGGCAAGGCTTGCCGATGATATTGGCGAAACTTCCGGAAATATAACAAGTCCCCGATCCAACACTGGAAATTATTACGGATGCTATGGACTCCAGATAAGGTTCGCTCATCTAGGAATCCCTAACAATACGACCAAGTTGTGAAAACGAGGTCAAACCTTCGATTATTTTTAAAGATTGAAGCAGTAGCCATCCACATAAACAAATTGCATAAAACCGATTAGGGCCCTCGTAAGTTGCCAAATAACAGAAACTTTCCAGTCCTGGCATATTTTTGCCCAGCATCGCTGGAAAGACGCGCTCCAACAGTCGGTCCTCAGATCGCCTGCTTTTGCAACCATAGACGAACATGTTCTGACGCCGACTGTGCCCGTGGAGGTCGCAGTACATGACAACTTTGTGAGTTTGCAGAAGCCTATCGAGTAGGGGGAATGCAAGAATACAGGCAAAGTTACAGTGATACAGAATGTTTTGTGTGCTTCAAAGTATTTAGTGCTTTCTGATCAGAAGTTGTTTATAGGATAGCAAATCTCCTTGTGGCGAAATCAGTGCGTCTCCACCACTATGACCAAATTCGCCAAGTAAAGACTTGGCATTAAAAACCATAGCTTCTGTTATCAATATAATTGGTATGATCTTATTTTCGCAACTCGGTCGTGTTGTCCGGGTAACTTAGTTGGACGACCCTTGTCCGAAGTCCTCTGCTATAGTAGGTATCATAATTCCAATCGTCGGACCCCGGACTTACTACATTCTCAGACGTTTCAGAATACGAGAATAAGGGATAGGTGAGAGTATCAGATACAACAACTGTTCAGTACAAAGTTGGTCAAGGAGTGGAGTTCACGTCTCTTTCTAGCTTGATGCTAAGACTGACTAGGAACACTGGTGATGCAGACTACTATGCCATCGAAACGTCGAGGAAGGTTTAAATGCACAGACCGACGTTCAAAGTTATCGTGGTAGAGAAAACTGGACAGGGTTCTTGCATTGAGTTCACCCTGACAACACGACCAAGTGGCGAAAGCGAGGTCAAGAATTCCGTATACAACCTCGAAATACACATCAAGTCTGTGCTTAGTCATCGTATTAGAAGACTTGGATTGGTGTGCCCATTATAGGTCAAAAGAAGTAGTGCCTTAATTTAAGAAGTTTGGATCTCACAGCTTTGTAGGGGTGGACTCAGAAGTGTATGGAAGGATTTCACACTGACCTTTTGGAGTAAGTGATGCAAGGCTGAAAATATTCTGAAAGACGAAGTCTTTTGTTCTTACATTTTATATTCGTTGAAGACGGAGATGTAAATCTACGGGAGAACTCAGATCCTGATGTCTTCCGCAAGTAGTCTAGCTTTCTCTCATTTTATGTGGATAAATAGACAGAGAGAGAGAAAGAGAGAGATCGGGGAAATCATGGAGGTCATGGAGGATGACAGCTTCTTTCCTTCGTGTCAATTATGAGGTCAACAGGTCACCTGTCTTCAGGTTGGAGACAAGGGCGGTAGAAAAGCCAACTTCCGAGCCCTGCTGGCTCGATCGTGAAGGCGGATAAATCCGAAGGAAAGCTGTCGGTCATAATGTATAGCAAAATTTGGAATGGAATAGGGCCTTCGTCTAAAGTCAGTCATTACGTGCGCAAGTTGTTGGATGGACGCCACATTTTCGTGAGGAATTATCAGAAGTTTTTTTGCCTCTCTGAGAGTGCACACGTGCAAAGCCTCTAGCCACATGCTTAGTAGGCAAGGCTAACGTCTCAACTGACTTACCGTAAGGCTGGGCAAGCAACTGAAACTGCCATGCTCATCTTCTGATGACAATCAATAAATATGGGTCCTACTTAACCCTGTTTCACGGAGGACAGTGAGAAACTGCTGATGGCAGAGGTAAGGAGCAAACGGAAGTGGGCGAAGGAGTAAGAGGTTCTCGGATGGACAACAAAAGACCGTTTAGAAAAATTTATAAGGATAGGATAGATTTATCCCTTCCGTTCACTCTTGATTATTTGAGACAAAAAGGCAAAGGTGACAGCAAGAAGCCTCATATTGTATTGACTTATTCTGTTTTAACGGCGACTGCATTCAATTTGGCGCTGGGTGGATATGCCATCAAAATACTAGACTTTGACCTGACTTAGTAGGTCATGTCGGCCGCCAATGTATGCTTCTACGGAAGCAATTCGGTTTATTCAGATAAGCTTTGGACGTAAAGGCTCGCTTTCTTTGTGCTCCGCAGCTAAGCATCTTTGAGGCGGTCTGTCTCTGCGTGAATATCTAAAGCTTGCATATCCCCATAAGCGCGGTGGCGCTGGCAAGTGAGACAGTAGAGAAGAGGAAATCTCGCAGATATCATATAACAAACTAAGTAATTAGACTGGACGCAAGAGTCTTGTTTCTTTTACGATGAGGTATTCGTAGAGAACTTTTCAACTGTCATTTCCTCAAATCGCCTTTGTAGAAATTTCGAAGGTAGCCCCGGGCTGAGTATCCACAAAAGAACGTGCATGTCTGAAGAACAGACACAAAATATAATTCATCCTCCAAATAAAAAGAGAACTTGCCTTCATGATTGAACTAAAATTGGCTTCTTGACTGACTTCCGACTGCTTGACTTGAGAATAATTGAGTTTTTTCCCTAAAATTATAAATTAACCTCTGGCCGGGTCTTATTTGTGTTAGAAACTAAGTTTCTGATTAGAAAGCAGGAGAAAAATACCTCTATCGGTCGGGAAGTCCTACATATTCTACCTCTGTCAAGTCCTGACGCATAGTTAGAAGATAATACTCCAGAGAACAACTACAATCAGGATAAATGAAGATGAGTAAAGCACATATATATACATACAGGAAAGGCGCGACTAATAAGAGTTCAAATAGTGCGAATTTTGATTTAGTACGAGTCATTACTTGACACCAGGACGCGTGAAATACAAGCCAAAATTCAATTAGTATTGTCAAGTCAATGGATCAGGCGCCTCAGTTGTCGTTAGACCGTTGCCCTTTATGCACTTGTTAATGCTTGCCATACCATTCAGGTAAAGTATATTAAAAATTATACGGCATCTCCTTAGTAAATATAGATAAATGGGAAGTATTTTAAAGTAAAGATCGAAGGTAGAAAAATAAGAAACAAATCGGTTGGCGGCTACATTAAGGCAAAATTTGATGTGATAAAAAGAAACAAACGTGATGATAACACTTAAAAATTGGCAAAGATGTTGGAATGCATGAAACAAAGATATGAAATATTTGTAAACACGCAGATGAATCAAAGGAAAGAGTTAAAGCGGAAGTAAATTGATGCGGTTTGAAAGCTACCTCAAGGAATGGAAGTATTGCAATGATAGATTTGTGTAATAATTAAAAGTAATATTTTTTACCAACGAACACGACATATTTAGAAGTTGTTTCACCTTGTTTTCGCAACTTGGTCATATTGGTAGGAAGACTTAGAGGAACGCACCTAGTCCGGAGTACATTGTATGCATGATCATTTCCAAAGTAGGACCGTGGACGTGGTATAATCCCAGACGTTTCGCCGGCATCGTAGTCCGCATCGTCAGGGAGTCTCGCCATTCGTAGAACCATATTACAACTCGTCAAAGAGACAAGTGAAGCCCATCCTTTGACCAAACGTGTGCTAAACTGTTGTGATATCTCCCCTTCTGTCCTGGCCTATTCACGTTTCCTATATCCTCCTATCATGCCTTCCCTGTCACAATTTTCACCGTGCTTATTTTTAATGTAGACCTATTTATTTTGCAATCCATGCCCAAGAAACAATCGCAATACTTATATAAAATTATAGTTAAGAAGACATTTTTCACAGTCAATTACTAAGACAACAAGTGATAATGGTTCATATATTGAATTGTTTTTTTCTAATAAACCTTTGATTTTTAATCAATTTTGATCATCCTTAGCAAGTAAATAGCATAAAAGAAGAAAAAACGGTAGCTTTAAATTTTTATTATGCCTTTTAAATGGAATGGATGCAATTATATGACCTTATTGTGTTGGTTTGACCTCGTTTTCGCTACTTGGTCGGAGCGTCAGAGGGCCCTTGTGGAACGTTGCTAGTCTTGTGTCCTCTGACATGCTATTCATGATTTTCAGCATCGGACCATTAACTTGGTACATTCCCTCTAGAATGACCAATCTCACAGTGAGACAAAAGATGAGGGCAAGGTAGTGAATCTGTCTTCCGTTCCTCTTGACCTGGAAACCACAGGAAGCATCAAGAAGGGACTAAATCTTTTACTTTGGAATAAAAGGAGGGCAATCAAGGACATTTTAGTGGAAGTAATAAATGCCTATGAGAAGCTACCGGAATAACGAAAGAGAGATGGAAATAAAACCCATCTAAACAATTTTGACGCAGCAAGAATCCATGGATAGGGATAATATAACAAAGATATACAGAAAACTAAGAAGAAACGATCGAATAGTCCTACAAGCTGACAAAGGAGGTGCCATAGTGATGGTGAACAGTAAGGAATATACAGAGAAAATGGAAAATACTCTCGGGGACACTACAATTTATCAACTGCTAACAAAAGACCCAACAGTTAAAATCAAATGGGAACTGCAAGAAATGCTGAAGGAAATGGATATGAACGGGAAAATAGACAAATGCACAATGAACTCACTCATAGGGAAAGATGCAAGAGATGAGGAAACTCTCAAGAAACGACTCCTCCGATAGAAATCGCATGATGGAATAACTTTTAACTTTCAGTCCAACCATACTTATGGAATGAAGATTGGAATACTCCTTACTATAGTCATAAGAAGCCTACGACTCACTGATTGAGTTCTGGGAAGAAGAACATGAAAAACTAGCTCAGATGTTTCTTGAAAACGGATATCCAAAATAAGCAATACAACGCAGCATACGGATAGTGCTGAACAGATGGAAGGACGGAGATTATGAAAAGAAAGCAAGAAGAACAGAGGCAAAACGATTGATATGTCTACCCTCCTGCAAATTGTGGCGGAAGCTGCTCCTGATACTATGGAAATGGATCATTCGTACAATCCTGAAGGAAAGGACAACCCTCTTCACCAGCATGCCTAACCAACATGAAAAATTCAACAAAATAGACTGCTCCAGAGTTTACAGCATAAACTGCAAGGACTGTAGACAAAAATACGTCGAGGAGACAGGAAGAATAATCAACACAAGGATTTAAAAAAAACACCAGCGACTATGCAGGAAAATGGATACGGAAAGATCAGAGATAGCTGAACATATCGTCCCTACCATCCAAGCAATTGACTTGGATGCAAAGGAAGGACTGACCTCATATGCGGAGGATACCAGAAAACGTAAGATTAGGGAGGCTGTGGACATCCTATTTCAAAGAAATATAATGGAAGGGAGGCGATAATTTCGCGTTCTGCCTGGGCAGACTTGGAGATTCAGCGAAGACATCAGGAAGAAGAAGCTTGGAGCTACGACAACTGTTCAACAACAGGAAGAGATATCGCTAAGGGGCAGAAGATGAGAGACTAAGAGAAGTCAAGAAAAAGAGGAGTCAAACCTGGAATCAGCCAAAGATTTACACGGGGGGGTACACCTGTGGGTTAAGGGATTGGAAATCAAAGGCCAAAATGTATAGGTCGGCCGGATATAGGCCACCAGTGTGTGTGCTTGTGTGGTTGTGGGCATTTTTGATGTCTGGGCCCTAATGGAAGGTGACTGGTAACATGCTTGACCACGGGGGATACCAGCTTAGATGGGAGTGTCAACTTG